GAGCATAACAAATTCACCATAGAAACTATTTTTCAAAAAACTCTATATATAGCAGCAAGGATTTTTATGACTTAGTACTCCAACAAAGCCTAAACATGTAAGTTTCATTTATCTATGTTATTGATTTCAGTCTAGGGTCATCCTTGGATAATGTAATGAGCTTATCTTAAGTTTTTCTTAACATTAGTAATGGCGCTAGTTTAAATGAAGTTTTTAAACCAATTTTTCATAATTTTAAGCAATTATTTAGACCATCGATAAATTTGGTAAACTATAATACCACATTTGGACATCAACTTTTATCACAATAACTTTCTCCATATAAGAATGTTTCTCCATATAAGAATGCAAAATCCTTTTCATATAAAGTTTTGCTTTGACTTTTTAGGATAGGCTTAAAAAACCTTTTTAAGTTTTCCTTGTAATAATACCAAGATAGATGGCAACTTCCCTCACAGAAAATTAATGAGATTTTTTATTGTTATATTGTAGACTCCATTTATGGTTTTTTGGTGGTTATGTTCTGTAATCTATAGTAATGTATTTTGACTATATATATATATATATATATATATAATATTCAGTCCTCTATTCTTTTTTTTTTCTATTTTTTGTCTTGTTTCATCTTTGTTTATTCTTGTTTGCTTCTCACGAATCGATAAGTGGTACTCACCATGGGACATAAACAAGATCATTCAAGGATATGTCAATAAAGTTCGATATTGAGAAATTCACAGGTTTGAACGACTTTTGATTACGGAAGATCAAGATTATGTTGTAAAACATTGATTGCAAAAGAATGTTGTAGTGCAACATTAGTATTTCACAAAGTTAATATTTTTTAATTGACAATGTTCAAACTTTTCAATGTCAATTACTTTTTCCAACGTTAAAATCATTTATTGGTTTTAATTTCTTTTATTTATTTTATTCTTTCTTATCTCTATAAATAGAGAATTCTTTCCCCATTCCAAGACACCAAAATCAATTTATTCTGGGAAGTTCCTATTGTATACTGGGGGACTTGTGCAATATACCGCAGATAAGTCCTTAAGGACAGTGAATCTACACGCCTCAAGAAATTTTATTACTGTTTTTGTCAGTTTTTATCCAACAATCTTAAGGACTTATGGCTGACATCAACAACTCGATCCTGGAGGATCAAAACTTTGTTTCCGAAACCCAAACAGTCTTCGCAAAATCACTTCCGAACGTGTCGAAAATCGAGGTTTTCTCTGGACATAACTTCTGAAGGCTAGCAAGATGCTCGCAATAGCGATGACTTATGATCGCATTTGTAGGGATCGTAGATGAGGATAAAGGAAATGGAGACGAGGCAAAAATTTAGAGTTCGTTGGAGTTAGGATGATGAACCCTAATTTTCATGTGTCATGCCTTTGTAATGCTTGAGGAAAGGTGGAGAAGATTTTCTCTCTAGAGAAAGAAAAAGAAAAGAAGATGAGGCTAAGTTCCTGATTTTTAATTTGGGCACCCCCAAATTAATTTCAACATGTCCTGTAGTAAGTGATGCACCGGACCATTATCAGGTACTTGAATAATTTTTCCTATACTTTACCTACAAATGAGAGAAGCACAATTAGGTATTTTCTCGTTTACCAATCTTAAATATTTTAAAAGGTTTAATGTCTCAATAGGTCCCTATTTTTGTTCAGAATTTGAAATAGGTCCCTTTATTTTTTGGCGTCTCAATTGGGTCCTTATTTTTGTTAATTTGATGCAAATAAATCCTTTCCATCAATTTCATCAAACGGCGTTAATGAATGTGTGACGTGGCCTTACACGTGTCAATACTGTCCTCAGGCCACGTCACACATTCATTAACGTCGTTTGATGAAATTGATGGAAAGGATTTATTTGCATCAAATTAACAAAAATAAGGACCCAATTGAGACGCCAAAAAATAAAGGGACCTATTTCAAATTCTGAACAAAAATAGGGACCTATTGAGACATTAAACCTATTTTAAAATTGTGGGGGTGTAGGTAATTTCTGATTCTTGCAATGAGATTGTCGCTAGAACTAAATTGTTTCTATGATCAAATTTTTTAATGAAAGACATGGGTGAAGCCAATGTACTTTAAGTGTTAGAATCATAAGGAAGGGAGATAGTATATTATTATCCCAAGAACAATACAGTGAGAAACTTCTTAAGAAGTTTGGATATTATGATTTTAAACTCGTGAATACCCCTTATGATGTTAACTCTAAATTAATGAAAAATAAAGGAGAATCATTATCTTAGCCTTAGTATGCCTAGATAATTGGGAGCTTACTACACTTGATGAGCTTTTCTAGACCTGATATTGCTTATGCAGTAGGTAGACTGAGTAGGTACACTCAATGTCCAAATCAGGAATATTGGGATGCACTTGCTAGGCTTATGAGATAACTTAAGAGGTTCAATGGATTATGCCATTGAATATAGTGGATTTCCCGTTGTACTAGAAGGGTATAGTGATGCGAATCGGATCTCTGATTCAGATGAGACAAAATCCACTAGTGGTTATGTATTCACACTTGGGGGTGGTGCGATTACATGGAGATTAGCCAAACAAACAATTATTGCAAGATCAACAATGGAATTTGAGTTTGTCGCTCTTGAGATGGCTTGTAGTGAGGCTGAGTGGTTGAAAAAATTCTTAGCAAACATTCCACTAGGAATGAAACCAACCCTATCGGTGTCAATACACTGTAATTGCCAATCGACAATAGCTATAGCTAAAAACAAAAATTACAATGGAAAGAATAGACATATACAATTGATACACAATTTGGTGAAGTAGCTGCTAAAAAGTGGAACTATTTCCATTGATTATGTGAAGTCAGAATGGAATCTAGCGGATCCTCTGACAAAACCCCTGGGAAGACAAATGATATTAGAAATATCGAGGGGAATGAGACTTAAGGCACTTGCAAACAAAAAAGTGATGGTAACCCAACCTTTATGATTGGAGATCCCATGAATAAGGTTCATATGGGTAAAAACAAGTCACTTGTTAGTTCTGATAACACTAAATTGATTTTAATCAATTATGTCTCATCCTATGGTGTGTGTGTGTGAAAATGCTAAAGACTGCATTATTGAGAGGCTAAACTGTGTGAAAGTGTTATGTGGTGAAAGAATTTTAGCTTAAACAAAGGTTTTAATGATTTTCATATCCCTTATGGGTGGTGTATGATTTTCAGCATACACTTGATAAAATCACCTATATGAGTGTCGAGTGAGGCCGCTTGCATGAGATCTTGGCATGATCTTTAAAACACTCATGAATACTGGGCACGCGCATGGCCTAGTAAGTGCAACATAGCTATAACAACAAAGATTATGGGGGTATATTGTGATTGATAAACCTCTAACACACGTCAAGTGTCTTTGGTTCATATAGCTTGCTATATCAACTACACTGTGTGTTAAGTTTCTAAATCTAAGACTGGTTCATATAGCTTGCTATACCAGCTCTGATGCATTACATCCTTTGAGACCTAGAATAAAAGTTTCTTATCTCTTTTTTAATGTTTGAACTATTTGAGTCAAAGACTTTTCTTTAAACTTTCTTTTGCAATAAGTGGGGGATTGTTGTAAAACATTGATTGCAAAAGAACGTTGTAGTGCAACGTTAGTATTTGGCAACGTTAATATTTTTTAATTGCCAACGTTCAAACTTTTCAATGTCAAGTAATTTTGCAACGTTAAAATCATTGATTGGTTTTAATTTCTTTTATTTATTTTATTCTTTTCTAACTCTATAAATAGAGAGCTCTTCCCCATTCCAAGACACCAAAATCAGTTTTTCTCATTCTCCTATGTTCTTAGTTTCATTCTTTAGCTCTTTTCCTCTTCTAAAAATATTATGGGTTTATTTTATACTCTTTTTAGAGATCCTTGCTAGTTCTAAGATCCTTGCTAGTTCTAAGATCCTCAGAAATATTATGGGAAATTCCTATTGTATCTAAGGGACTTGCGCAATACACCACGGATAAGTTTTTAAGGATAGTGAATCTACACGCCTCAGGAAATTTTATTACTGTTTCTGTCAACTTTTATCCAATAGATTAATCTTGATTCAACAAAGTTGTGATGAAGCATTGAAAGGAGAGTCGAACATGGCTTCAACCTTGACGCAAGCTGAGAAGAAAAGAATTATCGATAAGGTCAGGAGTGCAATCATTTTGTGTCTTGGAGATAAGGCACTAAGGGAGGTTGCAAAGGAGAAAAACATTGTTGGGATGTGGGTGAAATTGGAATCTTTGTATATGATGAGATATTTGGTTGATAGGTTATGTCTCAAACAAAAAATCTATTTATTCAAGATGGCAGAATCAAGAACAATTGAAGAAGAACTTTTGAAATTCAACAAGACCATCGATGATCTTGAGAATATTTGTGTAATATTAGAAGATGAAGATAAGATTGCCATTCTTCTGAATGTTCTTCCCAAAACCTTTGAGAATTTTAAAGACATTTTACTCTATGGAAAGGATCAGTTGATTACCTTGGAAGAAGTTGTGACATCGATTCGAACCAAGGAGTTCTAGAAGCTCCAAGATTCGAAAGCAACAGAGGAGGTGTCATCGAGTCTAATAACCATGAAAGGAAAAGGGAGGAAACATGAGGATAACTAGAAGAAGACAAAACCAGAAGATAAGAAACAAGTTTAGTGTTTCAAGTGCCAAAAGATTAGTCATATCAAGAAGTATTGCCCAAAGAAGGATAATGGTTCTCATATGCAAGAAAAATCTGATGTTGCTGAGGCCTTCGAGGGATATCAATAAGCTAGTGTTGTTGTTATGGCTTCATCAGAAGATTCTTAGAGAAATTGGGTCATGGACTTAAGTTGCACATATGATATGTGTCCGGTGAAGGAATATTTTGAGAATCTTGAACAGAAGGATTATGACACTATACTTCTTGCCAATAATAAGGCCTGTAAAGTGTAGGGATGTGATCTATAAGGCTCAAAATGTTTGACAGACATGAAATGGTGTTGCAGGGTGTGAGGTATGTTCCTAAACCAAAGAGGAATTTGATTTCTATAAGCTCATTCAATCTTATAGGTTATTCAATGAAGGTTGAGAATGGAATAATGAAGGTATCCACTAGAGATTCTATCGTAGCCAAGGGCAGAAAAAGTAATGGATTATACATCCTAGAAGGATCCACAGTCATTGCTCATGCTTCAGGTGCAAGTCAAACAATAGAAGACAAAACTAGACTATGGCACTTGAGGATGAGTCACATTAGTGAGAAAGACTTGAAAGAATTGGAAAAGCAAAATAGGCTAATGAGAGACAAACTTCAGAAGATGGATTTCTATGATCATTGTGTCTTAGGGAAATCTCACAAGGTGAAGTTTGGAACAGATAAGCATACTTCAACCCGACCTTTTGAATATGCTCATGCTGATTTATGGGGGTCATCTAGAACACAAAATCATGGTGGAGGGACATAATTTCTGAGCATCATTGATGATTTTTCAAGAAGGGTTATGATTTACATTCTTAGGAACAAACCTGAGACATTTCAGAAGTTCAAGGAATGACATACCCAAATTGAAAATCTATAGGGATTCAAGTTGAAGGGTTTGAGAATAGACAATGGGCTAGAGTTTGTCTCAAAAGAAATCAATAGTTTTTGCAAGATCCAAGGAATCAAGAGGCACAAGACTAGTGTTGGTATCTCTCAACAGAGTGGTCTGTCAGAAAAGATGAATAAAACCATCCTTAAAAGAGTTTGGTGCATGCTTCTTGGAGTAGGTTTATCCAAATCATTTTGGGGAGAGGCTACTAATACAACAATGTATTTGATCAACAAAAGCCCCTCAACTACTCTCAATTATAAAACACTAATGGAGGTTTGAAGTGGAAAGCTGGCTGATTACTCTAATCTAAGGGTGTTTGGTTCCTTGGCTTTTGCTTATGCCAAAGGGGACAAATTAGAAGCTTGAGCTGTGAAGAGCATCTTCCTTTGATATGATGAAGGAATCAAGGGTACAGGCTGTGGAGGTTAGATACCAAACCTTCCAAATAGATCATCAGTAGGGATGTTACTTTTGATGAGACAAGGATGGCAACCTATTTTGAAAATTTAGAGTGCGAAAGGAATAAGTCTCTCATTAAGGTGGAGCACTCGACTGGTGGATTGCAAAGAGATCTTCCCTCAAATCTTGATGATGATCCAGATGGAATATCAGTTGATATTGGACATTTAAGGAGTTTTGATCATGACATTAGTAATTATCAGCTTGTTCGAGATAGAGATTGAAGGGTCTCTAAACCAACCAAGAGGTTTGGGGAGGTAGACTTAATCTATTATGCCTCAAGTGTTGTTAGAGAACTTGAAGGTTCAGAAGAACCTAGAAATTTCAAGGAAGCACATGAAATCAGTGAGAGACAACTTTGGCAAGGTGTTATGGAGGAAGAACTTGAGGCCCTGAGAAATAATAACACCTAGAGACTTATGAAACTACCGAAGGGCAAGAAGGTAGTTGGTTCCAAGTGGATCTTCAAAAAGAAAGAAGAGATACCCAAGATTCAAAAGGCAAGGTGTAAAGCAAGGGTAGTGGCTAAAGGCTTCACCTAAGTCGAAGGTGTTGATAAGAATGAAATCTTTGCTCCTATGGTAAACAATTGCTTTGTAAGAATTTTAATATCAATTGTAACCCAGTTTAGTTTGCATCTGGAATAATTGGATGTTAAAACTACTTTTTTGAATGGAGACCTGGATGAAACCATCTACATGAGACAACCAGAAGGTTTTGCTTTGGATGACAAGGTATGTCTTCTACAGAAATCCCTATATGGCTTAAAGCAAAGCCCAAGACAGTGGTACAAGAAATTTGATAATTTCTTGCTAAAAATGAACTTCAAGAGATGTAGTTTTGACAACTGTGTATATATCTTGAATCAAGAAGACAAGTTATATCTACTTTTACATATGGATGACAATCTAGTTGCCAGTTGTAATAAGTGCATGATCAGTGATCTCAAATAAAAATTGAACACAATTTTCGAGATGAAGGATCTAGGTGAAGCCAGTCGAATATTGGGTGTTGATATAAAAAAAAGATCGATTGAAGGGAACTTTGTTCTGATCTCAACAAAATTATATGTAGAAGGTGGTAACAAGGTTTAGGATGTCTTAGTCCAAACCCGTTGGCACTCCCTTTGGGCAACACATGAACCTCTAATTAGTTGTTTCTCTATCTACCACTAAAGTAGAGTATTGTGCACTGGTTGAAGGGGTAAAGGAGGCCCTATGGTTGAAAGGAATGTTACATGAATTGGGCATTGAGCAAGAAATTGTTCAAATACACTGTGACAGTCAAAATGTCATTTATTTGGCCAATCATCAAATATATCATGCTAGAACCAAGGACATAGATGTTAAAATGCATTTTGTCAGACATATAGTAGAATATGGTGTTGTTCAAATTGTGAAGATTGCATCTGAAGACAATCCAACTAACATGCTAACTAATCTCTTCCAAAGGATAAATTCATGAGATGCTTAACCATGATTGATTTTGCTTGATCGTTTTGTTTGATGCATACATAGAGTCTAGGTGGAGAATGTTATATTGTAGACTCCATTTATGTTTTTGGTGGTTATGTAACTGTTTTTTTTGTTCTGTCATGTATAGTCATGTGTCTTGACTATATATATGAATCTTCTTTGTTTCTTCTCAGTGTAGCAAATACCAATACCCACATTAAGTTTTCTATTCTTTGTTTTTTCTGTTTTTCATCTTGCTTCATCTTTGTTTATTCTTGTTTGCTTCTCACGAACCAATACTTATTTTGCTTATTCTTTGTCTTGAGAAATTATTACATAAAAAGTTGATTTAACATATAGTTAACTATTTGTCTAAATGCATTTCCATACTTAAGCACTTTCATGGTATTAGATAAGTTCCTCATAGCATATGAACTATGTGCAGGAAACATTTGAAATTTTGAGCGACAACTCCTTGTAACCTTCTATCTTTTTCAAACTAAGTAATATTTTTTCTTACCAAGTGTATAGTATGATATTAAGACCGAGCGGTTAAGAGAGTTGGCCGATCGGTTAGTTAGATTGGGCCGCAGTTGGGCTAGCGATTGCGTGACTTATACTAAGAGTAATGCGTTGATGAGCCAATAAGTAATTGGGTCAACGCTTAAGCTATTATTGGGATAATAGTCTAGCAGAGGATAAAATAATCAAAGATATCTTATTAAAGATATTGATCAGATATTGATAAAGCTATTTGTGAGTAACTAACAAGATTTTAAGGTAAATCTGTTTAAGGTAAGTTCGTTTATATTTCATTGGGCTTATGAAAACCTATAAGTACAGAGCCAGGGCAAAAAGCCAGGTACGTTATACTCATGCTATACTGAGTTTACAATACTCGATTACGATAATACTTGTTAGTGAGCAAAAGCTCCTTCAACAGACGCCTAACTTGAGCGTCTGAGTGCCTTTGCAGGTACCTCCCACCCCTCTGTCAAGAAGATGGCCGAGCGGTCACAACTGGGAGAAACCGAGCGACTCCAGCAACCAGACATTCGGAACAAGGAAAGCACATTAAACAGGTCAGTACCTCGGTTCCACAACATCCACACCGAAACACCAAGTAATATTTTTACTTAACACTTCTTTGGCAAGCCAAGAAAAAGGATGAAAATAAACACTAAAACTTTAACACATTTTAAAACTAATAAATTTCAAAAATTAAAAAAAAATCATTAAAACCATATGTTTAAAAAATGTACATGCAAAAATTTCAATCAATAATTTCAAATTTTCTATATCAATTTTGAGTATTTTGTTGTTAGAAAAAAATATTTTTATAGAAAATATATAACTTATAAGGTTGTGATATAATTAGTGATGGTCCTACTAGGAATCAAATCTCTAGAAAATATATTTGTGAAAGAGAAAAAGACAAATTTCTCTATAATAATAATAATTAATTAAACTACTTTTTGATTTTACACTTTGGACTCCAACCTTTTCTACACTAGAATATTTCTTTCTCTAAACTAAATTATCTATTCTTTTATATATATATATATATATATATATATATATATCATATTATATATATATATATATATATATAATCTTCTTTAAGATGAAGAAAATATAATTAACTAGTTCAAAGTAATTTATGTTTAAAGGTCATTATTTAAGTTCTTTTATCTTGAATAAGTTTGTGGAGATGAACTTGGAACTACAAGTGGATGATGATGGGTTTCTCTAAATCTAATTGATATATTGATTAGAAGACTATGTCTATATACTAATTAGATGAATTTATTAATAAACACTAATTAGATGAATTTATTAATAAACACTAAATGAATATGTCTATACACTCATGAGACAAGTTTAGCAATATATATTAAATAAGTTTGTCTATACATAAATTAAGTGAGTTTATTAATACACATTAGATGAGTTTGTCTACTCACTAATTAAATGAGTCTTACAATAGACATTACACGAGTCTGAATATATATTGATTACACGAGTATAACAATACATATTATATGAATGTATTCGTATACTAATTAAATAAGTCTAGCAATATATATTAGGTGAGTTTGTGGATGTATTGATTAGATGAGTCTAGTCATACACATTAGAGATTCTTTAAATATAGAAAAAAATTTGCATGAGATTGTCTATACAATAATTAGGCGACTATAACAAAAAATATTAGACAACTCATTTCATGCGTTGATTAGACGAGTATAGAAAATTATTAGGCAAGTTTATAAATACATTGATTAGATGCGCAAAGAAAAAAATATTAGACGAGTTTGTCAATGTATTGATTAAACGAGTCTAATAATACACATTAGACGAGTCGTTCAAATATTGATTAGAGAATTCTAACAATATACATTAAACAAGTCTTTCCACACATAAATTAGACAAGTCTATTAATACACATTAGAAAAATATGTTCATTCACTCATTAGATGAATCTTGAAATACACATTAGACGAGTCTATTCATACATTGATATGATCAAACGAGTCTTACAACATATATTAGACGAGTTTGTTCATACACTAATTAGACTAGTCTAACAATATACACGAGTCTGTTCATGCAAATATTAAATGAATATATTAGTACACATTAAAGGGTTAAATATGTTTTTAGTCCCTAAACTATTGACCGTTTCTGGTTTTCGTCCCTGTTCCAAAGTAAGGTACAATTTAGTCCTCAATCTTTAAAAAACGTTCGTTTTAGTCGAAAAAACGAACGTTTTGAGGACTAAAACGAGGACTAAAAACAAAATTTTGAGGACTAAAACGAACGTTTTTCTAAAGAATGAGGACCAAATTGTACCTTACTTTGGAAGAGGGACGAAAACCAGAAACGGCCAATAGTTTAGGGACTAAAAACATATTTAACCCCACATTAAACGATTCTATCCAATTTATGATTAAATGC